GGGTTTAGGGTTGTTTGTTGTTTAGGGTTTAGGGTTGTTTGTTGTTTAGGGTTTTGGGGTTTGGGGCTTGGAGCTCTAGGAGATTAATATAAGGCTACTTTGAAGAGGTCTGTGAGTCTATAAGGATTCCATCAAACTTTCTATGAAGGGTTCTACAAAGGGGTCTACTGTTCGTTTTTGTTATCGCTTTAGGGTGCTAGGTTGCGGGTGGATCAGCATGGGATTGAAATATGTTTTAATTACATGTGAGATCAGAGTCCGGAGGATTAGTAGATGGCGAAGATATAGAAAAGTATAGGGTTCAGTTTAGCGATTAGAAGTTTAGGGGCCAGCAACTGCAGATATCATAGCACCAACTATTATGATACTTCAACCCCCACCTCCTTGCTATTGCTAAGGATCTTGTCATCCTGCAGTACAGTACATAGCGCCTCGCCTTTTGGGGGGGTTTTAGGGTTCTGGGTTTGGGGTTTAGGGTTTAGGGTTCTGGGTTTGGGGTCTCTAAACCCGGTGGACCCTAAACCGTTTGGGGTGTGGGGTGCTCTGGAATGTAGGATGTTTTGGAGGTGGAAGACTGCGGATCTGTCTGTGCTTACAACACCTTACAACCGGGCGTTATAGGTGCCTAAATAACTAGAGGCTTTTGGGCCAGAATATTATAGTGTGCTGATAATCAGGAACCCAGAGGAGTAGTATTGCTAAATATTTGTACGTCCATAGTAGCTGCAGTGTACTGATAATCAGGAACCCTAAGGAAGACGGTGTTGCTAAATCTTTGCACTTCAATCCTAGCTGTCATTCTTGGGTATTGCCATGAAGCGAACGCCATGATAGGGCGTAAAAGACAAGCCGGCGGTGTAATTTCAAGAAATTTCGATGCAAGCCATTGAAAGCACCGGATTTTTCTTCGCCCGGGAACAGGCGCGCTTGTCTCAAGTACCTTTGCTGATGATCACCTCAGATTTCCAGGAACATCCCATACTAAAATGTGGCACTCGGAGTATGTGGAATAAGTACTACGGTAAGTCCTTCGAGTTTCAATAGAGTGGAAGACCCAGCTGAAGCTCTCCCGGTGCACAGGCGATCCGGCGCCTTTCGCCACACTTGGCTGCTGACAGGGAGGCAAGAACCGACCCCCAACCCTAAACCCTAAACCCTAAACACTGACCCTAAACCCTAAACCCTAAACCCTGAACCCTGAACCCTAAAGGGCTTGAGCCTTAAATCCCACCCTAAACTCTGAGACCAGCACCAGTCATCCTTCGGTCCGATCTTCGCCGGGAGCCTGCCGAGACTTTCCGGGCTCAAATTGATGCATGCCAAGTCCTTCGGTGCTCTTAAGGGTTTAGGGTTTAGGGTTTAGGTTTAGGGTCTTAAGGATCGTCGTGACATCTGTTTTTATAGCAAAACCCCAGGGGGGTATGAAAACGGGGTCTTCGAATGAGGCCCTAGACCCTAAACCCTAATACCCTAAACCCTTAAACCCTAGACCCTAATATCCTAAACCTGAACGCTTAAGGTTCAATGTGGACCGAAACTAACAGACCCTTGAGCCTAGACTGGCACAGTAAGTCGAGGGTTCAGAGTACTAATGGGTTTAGGGTGTAGGGGTGTAGAGTTTAGGGCTTTGGGTTTGGGGGTTTAGGGGTTTAGAGTTTAGGGCTTTGGGTTTAGGGGTTTTAGGGTTTAGGGGTTAAGGGTTTAGGGATACGAATAGCATCCCCATGTAAATTCAGGCACGTGTATATCTAAGGCGTAACCCGTAACATCCCTAAAAGCCGTATTCTTATGATGACCCCCGGTATGCTAGACACTTGTTCAACACTTTCAAGGAATCATGTCTGCATTACTCGGTCGTCTTGAAGGGTTGTGAGAGCCAGGTGTTTGAGTCAATGGAACTGGAGAGGTATCATATAAAAAGCTTTGGACATGTTGTAGATTTCCTTGAGGTTATTCCGACCATAGTATGTAAGAACCGTTATAGGAGCCTGGGAAGTCTGTAATACAACTATAGTCCTAGCATTAGGGTTGAGGGTTTAGGGACCGTTAGTACTGGCACTAGTGGTCTGTTAGCGAACGTCGCGTCAGGTGGTCTTGGCGGCTGTCTCTCAAGACGGCAGAGCCTTTTGCCTGCACTTTTTTTCCCCTCTGCAGAGCATGTAGAATTCAGATGTTTTGCCCGGCTCGTCATAGAAATTCTGCGACTAAACCCTAAACCCTAAACCCAAGAAGATTCGTAGTTGTGATGGCAGCCACCATATGGTGTGTCCTAGACCCGGGGACATTTGGGACTCCCATCTGATATTTTTCTCAATGCAGGTGTTAAGGTTCAGAGGGTTGCCAGCAAAGGACTTTGGTCTTCAGTCTTGAGAAGTTAGAGTTTAGGGTTTAGGGGTTTAGGGTTTAGGGGTTTAGGGTTTAGGGTGCCACGGCTTTTTGTACAGCTAGTTTGCTGACGTCCTTGAGTGAGCTACAATATCAAACTCTCATCCCGACATACCGAATCTCACGGGCGCCGTTTGCGGGACGCACAGCAGGAGAAGTAGGAGACAAGACATTCATATCATAAGTAGCCACTAAACCCTAAACCCCTAAACCCTAAACCCTAACCCCCTTGGCCGGATGACGACATCCTCGGAGTTGTCATGGCAAGGACCAGGCCTCAGTTCGCCTGGGAACACTACGTCTTGCCAGAGTGACGTGAGCCATTTAGGGTTTAGGGTTTGAGGGTTTAGGGGTTTAGGGGTCTAGGGGTTTAGGGTTTTGGGGCTTAGGGTTCAAGGGTTTAGGGTGACACTACGTCTTGCCAGAGTGACGTGAGCCATTTAGGCAGGGTTTAGGGTTTACCTTAAGAGCCCAAAGCCTACTTGTCTGTAGGAGTCCTATAAATCCCATACTAGGGTTTATAATAAGAACCTACAAGAAAGTGGGTTTGAGGTTCTTAAGGTAGGGGTATCTGCGCCGTTCCTCAACTCATCAGTCCTGCAAGCCCAGAGTACTGGTCAAGCTCGAGATGCGGGTTTGGGGTCAAGTATACCTGACTCTGTATATGTATAGGCCGTACATGGACGTGGTTATCCACGTGTTATAGGTGTATATGTACGTATGTATGTGTGTATCGATGGATGGATGGAGGGATGCGTGTGTCTGTCTGTCTGTCTGTCTGTCCGTCTGTCTGTCTATGGTCTTTCTATCTGTGCGTCGTGTGTTTTTGTTTCGGAGGACTCCCCCAAACCCTAAACCTAAACCCAAACCCTAAACCTGAACCCTAAACCCTACACCCTAAACCCCAAACCTAAACCCTAAACTTAAACCCTAAACCCTAACCCTAAACCCTAAACCCTAAACCCTAAACCTAAACCCCTAAACCCTAAACCCCAACCCTAAACCCTAAACCGTGGCCCAGGCCTTGGATTGCCTGTCAGCGGAACTGCAGGATGATGAAGAGGCCTCCTGGCTTTAGGGTGTAAGGTTTAGAGTTTAGGGGTTTAGGGTTTAGGGGTTTAGGGTTTAGGGGTTTAGGGTTTAGGGGTTTAGGGTTTGGGGGTTTAGGGGTTCGGGGTTTAGGGTTTAGAGGTTTAGAGGTTTAGGGGTTCAGGGTTTAGGGTTTAGGGCTTTAAGGGTTTAGATAATATGGGTACCATTAGGGTAGTATTAGGGTCTACAGGGGTACTACGAGCGTAGCACACGGGTATCGTAGGGGTCC